CCTTCTGCAGGGTCGCTGATGCTGGTGCAGGCGAAAGCTCCAGCCGGGTGGCTCCGGGGCTCATCAGAAAATCTGAATCTGGCCTCAGTTCTGGCCTCGGGTGTTGATCACTGCAATTTAAATACACTGTTAAGAAAAATACTTGCTGTCGCCAGAGCTGGTAGCACAAAGGGGGAGCAGCTTGAAGACGCGAGACTCAAGTCTGAATTTGTGCACGTTGGCTTTACTTTCCCGAGTTGAAAACACGCAGTTCTATTAAAGTATATCTGCAAGGCAACGACTAACAAATGAAACACAAAATGCCCTTATTTATATGCTGCTTACAGTCTGCACTTGAAGGGGATTTGACGTGCAGGTTGACTGTCCTCGCGCTGCAGTGTTGCCTCTCTCTTGCCCTACATCCCGCTTCCTACCGCCCAGCGTCCTCACCGAGTCAATGGGGTCTTTGTTTGGGAAGAATGCAAACAAAATTCGTGCTGTCTGAAAAGGGCTAGCTCATCATTTGTAGCTCTGAAATGGACTGGAAAATAACTTTTTCTCCCTCCCTTTTGTACTGATAGCATTCTGTCTTTCACTTTCGGAGAACAGTTGGGTTTGTGATTTAGCAACAGAAGAGTGATCTTTACAAAACCTTGGCAGGGGCTTGAGAGAAGGTGTAAAGTGATACATAGCTGTCGGGATGCTGTGATTACGGCTTTAAAACACGCTGTTCTGCTGACGCAAGTCCAGGGTCTCCGTTAACATCTTTCATCTGAGCGCAGTGGAAACGCAGAACCGTTGAGCCAATAGTTCTGTGTTCACCCAGACATTCAGATATTTAAATTTACACAAATAAAGCTGGAATGTGTTGTCAGGAGTCGTTGACAATAACCTCTGCTGATGTAGGGACAGAAGAGTGTCCTGATGCACAGGTCTGACCTCCTGGCTTCCAAAACTCCTCTTGGTCTGCCCCTTTACAGTGACTAAGCAGAAATGACTTCCAGTAGTTGTGTAAGGGCAGAGCTTGTTTGCACATACCGTGAGATCAGCTGCTGGTACTTCTTCAGCCTTGGTACTCAGGGACTGGTGACCTAAAGAATCCATCAAGAGCCTTTAAAAAACAGTCTCTTTTAAAGCCGTGAGTTCAGTTTTTGGGTCAGATCTGCACCCAGTATTTCTATAAGCAACTGGTGGAAGACTTGAAATTGGGAGGAAACCTAGAATTGAGCCAGAAACCTGGGGTAGCCTGCCTGTAAGGAGACCTCGTTGTGAAACTGTGTGAGCTGTACTGGAGAGTAACAAACACTTCCAAATTTTTCTTTGAAAGTATGGGGTTAGAAGTGTTTCATGGGCTGGCAGTATACTTCCAGGTTTTTCTGCGAATTCCAGTTTGCCCTGTTGAAGTTGATGAATATCTTTCTGACACTTAATGAGGGAGTAATTTCATAGTCATCTTTAATTAATTAGTTTTGTCATTATCTCTTGTGATAGCAATATGTCCGTTCTGCATGCCATTCAATTTTTATGCCCGTTACCCTATTAAACTCTTTCTTGAACTTAATCTTACTGGAGACTCCCCATAGCTGTGATCTCTCCTCTCTGAAGCCGTTGTGTTTCTGCAGCATCATGTCACCAGCAGCTTCTTTGGAAAGACCTCGAAGGGAGTGGGCACTATAGTGATGCAGAAGTCTATTTTTTCCAGTCTGTTAAAACTACTTTGGAAGTATTTAGAGACAAATAGTCATTGCTATTTATAACAGTCTTTCTGTTATGAAGGCTGAACTAGTATTATATTGTAATTGGAATGGAAGCTGAGTATAACATGGGATTAGAGATTTATCCCCAACTACTAGAGTTAGCCAAATCCCTCTCAGTGCAAAGAAGAGTTAATGTCCTTGGCTGGCTTAATAGCTTACTTTAAGGCATAAGAAGTGGCTGTCAAACATCCTGCTTTATCTGGGAGGAACCTAAAAGTAAGTGTCAGTGCATAAAATACTTCAGCGTGTGATCTTTTGGTAAACGCTGTGTGTGTGTGTGTTTGGTAGCGTTGCTGTGGAGCACTACATCATAGCAAACAACTTGGTTCAATGCTTTTAACTTGGTTAAATGCTGGAAAATGTGGGGATAGTTAAGTGTATTGGGGGCAGTTCTGTGTGTTGGCTATTAATCATTGAGGTTTAGTTGATGAACCACGTCCATACGACGCTAGCTGTGGATACGACCGAGCTATGGATTACAACCGAGTCATAAATCTGACGTAACGTGAATGATGAAATACTGCTTTGGCTAATTGGAAGAAAATGGAGCGTTGACCTGAAATGGAGGTCTAAAATTAGTGGACAACTTGAGCCTTTAGTCACTGTACTGCTTTAAATCCTCAGAAAAGGGGAGTTTTGCCCCTTCGCACCCGACTCATGTTTATGAAGTACTTGGTAACGGCGAGCGGCTCGGTGGGGAGGTGCAGTCAGGGATCATTTCAGGGCTATTCCCTATTTTCCTTTCTGCCTGCATACGTGGTGGTTGTCCCTCTAGCAAGTGCCGTCCCTGCTCCTGCCCCTGCCCTGCACAGGCCTGTGGGGAGGGGAATTTTCCTCCCACCCACCCTCTAAAATTGTGTAGCCTTTCCCAGAAAGGCTCTGGTATCCTGTTTTTTATGCGAAAATATTTTACTAACTTTTAATGTTAAAATCAAGTAGTGTGTGCACTGTATAGAACTAAAAGGAGCTGGGCTTGGTGGGGTTTGAAGCTGCCTTCCCAGGCAGACTTCTTGTGTAATAGTGTGTTTCATAAATTCTATTTAATCTTACTTGGTATAAAATGACCTTGTAGATTTAGGAGGGAAGTGTGTGATTGCAGCTGCTGTCTTTTTTAAAAACTCTAAATATAAACAGATTTTTGGAAAGCATGAAAAAATGATCAGCAGTGTTTTCTCTGGTTTGGATTGCAAGTTGGGACTCTGGCATCTGGTGATGGTCAGAGCAGTTTGAGAAGATGGCTTGTAGCGCTCCTGCTCCGCCGATGCAGTCTGTGCTGGTAGTTCTTGTGGGCAGTTTTGGAGATGAGGAGGTTGGCGCAAGATTTGGTCCTCGAGCCTCTTCTGTGGAGGAGCTGGTGGGGGAGATCTTTGTCCTGGCCCATCTTGCTTGGCGTCCGTTTTGCTCTGAGCCCATCTCTTCTGGGAAAGAGCGAGTAGTTTGTACGTGTTGCACAAATGAGGTTTCACCAAGGTCTCACAAAACGGTGTTCGTATTTCCCTGCCTCGGATGGAAATTTCTCACCAGGTGCCTGCAAGATTGTATTTGCTTCTTCTAGAGCTGCCTCTCCATCGGATTGTAGTTTCGGGTTGGCCCAGCGCTGAGGGATCTGGGGGAGTTGGGAACGGTCAGGGGGTGGGTCATGGTGGGGCTGGAGGAGCTGCAAGGGATTTTCCAAGATGATTCAGTGATAGTTACTCCGTGAAGGTAAAAAGGTAATCTTGAGAGCCTTTGGTCTTTATTCTTTGTCATCTGACAGCTACTGGTTGACAGAAGAAATTCTTAGGTAACAGGCCCGTAATGTTGCGTTTTGTACTGCTGACACCCGTCCCTTGCGTTTTGTTCAGATTTATCAGTTTCTTATTTTAATCATCCTTTGTACAGTGCCTCTCACTTTTGTAGGCAGTAGACTTCAAATAGGACAATTTATTATACCGGAATTAATAATGAAGATACTAAATACTGGTTGCAGCATTGATCTCAGCTAACGATTTGTCTTCAGTTTGATAGTTTTATCTTGCCTGAGTCTTGTCAGGACAGCTCTCCTTCATCTCAGTCCTTGCAAATCCCATGGGTAACTCACTTCCTCGCGATACCATTTCAACTTTGCCTCTAGTTAACATGTGGTTTATTTTTTATTAGTTGGTATTAAAAGGAAAAAAACCTTACTCGTGCTCTGCCCAGATGGCCTGTGCTTACTCCGAGTGTTGAGAGTTGTGGTTATGCACAAAAAGTCAAATCCTGACTTTGCTTGTACAGAGACTGGAGCAGGGATGGACTCGGACAAAGAGACGTGGTAGTTGCATGCCAGCTTAGCTGATAAGTTGCCTTTTATTGCTGGTTAAAAGCTTCGTGTTGCCTAAACCCTTCTGCTTACGTTGATGGAGCTTGAGGTTGGCTCTCTCTAAGCCATGCGCCTGTGTGTTCAGCTCGAGAGACAATTCAGGGCTTCTGCGGCTTGTTCCAATGGTGTAAAAAGCAAGATGACTGGTTTTAATTAGTCTGGAGTCGTGTCACATGCCCTCACCGCTTTGAGTTATGTTAAACAGGTAATAAACATTAAGATTTCTGTAGTTAATGTTGTTCTGACAGGTAGATTACTTGAGCAGGATTAATGGAAAGCAGAACCTTGGGGAAAAGAAGGGGGGGGGGTGTGTGAGAGGTTTCTGAAATGGTGGTATCGCAAGAATTAGGTCTAAGAGTAAAAAAATAAATGAAAATTCACCTCAATATTTCACATAATTTTTCAGCATATGCCAAATACCGTGGTTTAATGATTTTTGGGGAAAGAATCTTTAAAAAACCAAAAAAATAATGAAAAAACCCATACCAAAACAAAAAAGCCAAAAACCCAAACCAAACAAATAACCCAAAACAGCCACAAAAAAAACCCCAAAACAAACCAAAAAAAAAACCCCAAACCCGAACAAAAAGAAGTCGTCTTGCTGTGTTGTTTAGGATGTTTAAATTTATACCCAAACGGCCAAATATCTTCTTTTTGGAAGTTCTCCAGAAAAATTGCAAAACCGTGATATTTTTCATTCTTAAAAATAAGCAGGAAACTTGTAAAAGCTTTTACAAGCCAGATGACCGTGCCGCTGCGAGCCGAGGGGGACCCTCGGAGGCCCTGCCCGCGCTGGCCAGCCTGCTCCTCGCCCTCCGGCCGACTCCTGACAATTCCGTAAAAGAAGAAAAAAGCTGTTCTGTCTGGAGCAGATGAGTTGATGTGGAGTTGCTTTTGTGTAAGTAAATACTAATTTGTTATTTATGTGTTTGTTTATTTCAGGGATAGACTTCAAGATTAAAACTGTTGAATTACAAGGAAAGAAGATCAAGCTACAGATATGGTGAGTAAGAGACCCAAGAAGCTACGTGGTGGCATCCTTCCGGGTGGCTTCTTTCAGAAGCAGGTTTTCCTGAGAAGAGTTTTACTCTTCCTGAGACTATTCAGGTACCTAATTTTGGAACTTGTGCGTTGTATTTTCCGTAGTGCTAAAGCTCAGTGTTCTCTCCCTGAAGGTTTTTTTAAGAAAAGGGGAAGAGATCTGCGTGTTGTTTGTCACCGCTGTTCCTGCCTGCTCCCTTGGACAGGCTGTTGGCAGATCTCCTCTTCGGGAGGACAGGATCCTTGCAGTCTGTGATTTAGTGGGAAGTGCTTGAAAACTGGAATTTCTTAATTATGAGTTGCCTCGGATCTATGACTATAAATTCACTAGTAGCCTTGCTTTGTGTCAGCAAGAAAGTGTAATAATCTACGTCTGCACTTATTTTATATTTTCCTGTGGTAAGCTGGAGAGTTTCTCAGCTGGCTGCAAACTTGGCTGCTTTTTTGTAGGGAAGCCTAACATGAAGCAGAACTTGAACTCTTTCTTTTACCTTGTTACCTAACTAGAGATTTTTCTTGTGTTTTAATAGTGCTCTAACAAGTCAGGTGGGGAAAGCTAATGGCTTTTCCTAGCCTGTATGTTTTAGGCTCCCTCCTCAACCACATACACGTATTGCTGGTCTCCAGCTTTACCAAGAGTCCAGAACTTGCTTTGTTTAGACCTTCACTTTGCCCATTTTGTCCCCCACTAATAAAAATCTTTTATGCCTTGATAACGTTGACATTTGTAGATGCTGATGGATGGGTTCCAGTTAGGAGGTGCCGGTCTTTCTCCGTCGGGGTGTGGGACTGGCTGAACTTCCTAACAAACGTGTTCTGAATCCTCCTCGTTACCACCACGCTGAGCGTGCACCTCGTCTCCTAGTTGTTTCTCTCATCCCCATCCCACAAGCACTTCTGACCTGTTAACATCCAACTTTTCAACCCAGAGCAAACCGTAACTTCTAACAATCGTTTTGTCGTATTTTTTTACCCCAGCAGGGTAGGTGCTGGGAATTACCGTGGGATGGAAAGGTAGAACAAAACACCAGAATGCCTTAAAGGAAGTGTGAGACTAAATTTAGGAAAAAAAAGTCATTGTGAAATGTAAAAACTGAAAATCCGGAATACTTGAGGATGTTTAATGTGTATACAGATGAAGAAGCCAAGCTATAATGAAGCCTTGTGGGTTTTAGTGGCTTAGGGAAATGAAGAAGGGTTTGAGTGAGCTGAGTTCTGTGAAATTGCAACTTCTAAACATTGCGGAGTTGGGAGGTCGTTGTCTGAATCTGCTTCTTGTTCCTGCCAGTTTAAAATTGACATTTGAAATGAAACTTGGAAAGCAGAAAATGAAATTCCTATGGCATGCACTTTTGATGGAGGGGGAAAAAAATAAAAAATAAAAAATCTAGGCTTTGTAGTTTCTAACTTTTCCTGTACAAGGAGTTTTGCCCAGCAGTGGTTTGGTGGCTAGAACAGTAGTGCCTTTTGGTGAAGATACTTTGTGCAGCACATCTATATTTAACCACTGCTTCCTGTAGTTAAACTCGCCCTGTACTTCTAGGAGTTGTGTAACAGATTTCCAGAATTACACTTCGCTCCCGCTGCAGCAGTTTTGTGAGCAAGGGATGCGTTTAGAGGAACGTTTCCTCTGTCAACCCGAGGCTGTTCTTGTAGCTTTTCTTGCGTCCAGAGTATGGGTTGTGATTTTATAACTGAAGTAGGAGCTAATGTAGCTGAATCAGCAAAATGTCTTTGGAGTCGTTGGAAGCATTTCCACGGGGGAAATGGGTGCTGGGTGCTTGATTAACCTCAGCAGAAGGTCACAAAGGGCTGACGGTGGCGAGAAGACAGACGTTTAATTGGAGCTGGAGACGAGACCCTTGGCATTTGGCTGCTTTCACTTTGTATTGCGTTGCGGGTGTGCCCGTATCCACACACAGGATTTAGAGGAGGGATGTCAGATATTCCATTTGTGGGCTTCCCCCTACCTCAGAAAACGATTGTCCCGTTGGTGAGACTGCCTGCCAGCTCTCAGCCCTTTCTAGTAGACGCACCTGTGCTGCCGCTGGTCCCTTACAGAGGCAGGATGAGTCCAGCCGTGGCTCTCCAAAGTGCCACCGTGCCTTTCATAACACTGTTTTCTTGCTTCCTAACAGGCCCTTTTATTGTTAGAAGCAAAGGCAATTTTGTCTTGTCATCACTGCTGTTATCATCATCATCGCTATTATTATCGGTGCTTATTCAGATTGAAACCTCTTTTTTTTCAGAATAATGACATTCAGCTGTTTGCGAAATGACAGATGGTGACAGAATTTTGTACCTTGAACACCTTCCTACGTGTTAGCCATTTCCCAAATATGACAGACTCCCCTTAGCTGGAGGTGCTCGGTGCTGGTGAGGGAGCTGTGCTCAGTGAGCCATCACTGGTGAAAGTGGTGGCTAAGCAGACCGGTCACTTAGAGAACAAGCTTTCTCCGACAGTGGGAGCGATGAAGTATTTGATTATGTAGCATTTATTTCCATAGGTGAAAAGGGTATTTCTTTTCCCATACAGCAAGAGAAATAAACTGTTCCTCAGTTTAAAATGGCTGTATCGATCTGGCTCTCGCTGATCCATACAGTCCTCCATCACCCACATATTAAGTCTTGCTTAGATTTAATTGCTACAGGAGTTGCTCTCTGCCTGCCTGCAAAGCTGGGTTGCTGTGTTTCACTGTGGCTAGTACTGGCTTTTGTACTCCTTGGAGGAGGGTACAGTCTCAAGGGACAGTCAGTTTTACAGAAAACAGATAAAACCAGCACTTTCTGGTATAGCTCTGCTCCTTTGCTACACAGCGAGATAGCTGCCTGCTTCTCTTCCTGGGTGTGGAAAATGGGCAGACGTGGCAGTAGCTCAGTCATGTCTTGACCTCTAAAATATATGTATGTATAGTAGAGCAAGAACACGAAGGTCAAGCAGAGCTAACCTTGCCAGAGGCAATAAGCAACCTGATACTTCATAGCTATTAAAAAGTGGGGTTGCTGGTCAGTAAGGATCAAGCCAGGATTAAAGCGTTTTCATATTGCTCCAAATATGTATGTGCCTGTTGCCAAGTGACGTTGAGATGGGAAGAGGGGAGGTTGGGACAAGTGGTTGGGACCGGGTGGCAAGTGGGACCGTGTGTGTGTGCAGGGAGGTTCTGGAGGAGCCCAGCGCCATGCCCGGGCTGCCATCAGGGAGCAGGACAGGACATGGCTCTTGGGACTGGCCTTCTGAGGGAATGGGCTTCAGGACAGATCCATCGGGAGGACCGTGTGAAATGGCCGTATGTGAAATTCGGGGTGGAAGCACCTAGAAGAGTCGAGTGTCTTGGTTAGGTGATTGTACTCCCTGGCTGTTTAGAAAAAGATGTGACAGCGTGTGATACGATGCCGTGTGGAAAGTCACCAGTGGTGGGCTTAGTACGGAGCTTGGGAGAAAGGAATTGGAGTAAAGGTTTGGGAGTGGAAATGCTTGTGAAGGGTGGGGCCCGGGAGGGTTGACACTGATGAATGTGATTAATACAGTAACGCTCGCAGTACAGAGAAGGGAGGGAGAATAAAAGAACCAAAATGAGAGGTTACAGCTCCAGGAAAAGCTGGTGTTATCGTTGCGAAAGCGATGAAACGCTTCAGAGGAATAGAGTAGCAGAGCTAAAAATTCAGCTCTGAGGAGCGAAATACCATAACGCTCCAGGAACTCAGGTAGAATTGCTGTGAAATGGAAACCAAAAGGCTTAGGCGTCCTGTAATTCACCAAACTTACAGGCTCAGTGTAGCAATTGAAAAATAAAATGTGGTTTTTCTGATACCATGGATGCGATCGCTCCCAGTGGGCAGGGAAGCGTCTCAGCCCAACACAATACCCAACTTTGATTAGCAGGCTTAACATAATACACGATTTTGATTAGCAGGCCTTAGAAAGAAAGAGGCAAGTAGGATGGTTGGAGTGATGTAACAACTATTTTAGGAAGAACAACTGGAAAGATTGGGATTCTTCAGAGAAGTGACCAAAGCGCGTTTTTAAAACTCTTGACTATACTGGAAAAGGTAAGTAGAGACTGATGTGACTCCTTGCCTTTTCCAGTACCAGAGCATTAGTTCTGGCCTAAGGCTTGAAGGTGGCACGTGCAAAACACAAGGGAATGAAGCTGTGAAACTCCTCGAGAAGTTGTGGCAGCTGCAGGTGTACGCGGGATTTCACGAAGGAACAGTCTGGTTTGGATTGTCGCATTAGACAGATGGGTCTCGGGCTCCAGGAGTCCTTGAACTCCACAGAAGTGAAAGCTGGAAAAACATCTGGCCTGACAAGTACAGCTCTTGGGCGCCTGTGAGAGTGCACAGAAGTCAGGTTTAGGTTTTTCATCCTGGTGAAGCGAAAGCTGAAAGGAGATGTTACTGTCATCTTAAAGTAGCAGGCAGGGAGGAGGAGGAGGAGGAAGGACTTTTTAAGCTCAAGGACACGGGAAATCAAAGTTGCTGGCAATCCAGCAGCAGGGGCGGGAGACTGGGAAAGCTCTAGTACAGTGTAATAGAAATGAAATAAATAAAGGAGAATGTGGAGGGAAAAAAAACCCAGATCGGCCAGGTACTTCAGAGTAGGGCTTGGCATGATGTATCCTGTTCTGCTATTGCAGAAGAACTTACCCCAGAAACCTTCTCTCCATTTATTCCAGAATATTCTGTGAAAATTGGTTGCAGAAAATACAGCCACTTTCTGGTCTCTCCATTCACAGACTCTGCAGTCTGGGGAGACAACGAGGAACTGGAGGAGATGATCCTGAGGTGGAATTACAGGATGTTGATGTTGGGAGAGTGAATCCAAAACAAAAAAAAACAACCCCAAAGACATTTATGCTGACCGTGGGATGCTGGAGGGATGGGGTAGGGCCAAAAGCTGTTCAAGAAGTTACTGCAGCATTTAGGAACAGGTTTGTAGGGACTGTAAACAAGCTGGGGTTA